ATCAACATAGTACATCTGCTCTGAAGTTGTTTAACAACTTCAAATTGTTAAATTTGACACTTCACATTGTTAAATTTGATATGTAAAGCTCTAAATGGGTTGGATCTTAGGTATCAGAGAGTCCATTTCTCTTCCCCTATGCAACAGTACAAGACACCAGTTAGGGAGATAAGAAAGAAGGCAGCTGGTAGCAGAACTTTCTCAAGGATTACTTAGATTTCAGCCACTAGTGAAGCTGTATCAAAGTGAAGAGGAATTAGGCCAATATAACTGTTATCCAGGGATGTGGATTTTCCACACCCCTGCGCAATATAATTATACCACAAGTTAGTAGCACATACCAAGTCTTAGTTACACTAGAACAGTGTGATCTGCACCAATGCAGTTTACTGCAGGGTAAACTGTGCCAGCAATACACAGTATCTATGCTAGGGATTTGCACAAGTGTAGCTTTATGGATGCCTGAAAACCCAAGGTAAACAAAGCCCAAGGGAAAAAGAATATGCTACCCAAGACTAAGAAACCTGTGCTTTAGAATATGGTAAGACCTGTCATTTCTCATAGCCACTTGGTATTTATTCTTCAGAAAGTTCTTTTCTTTTTGCTGCTTCCAAGCTAATCTTCCTCCATGGTCACTGACCTGGTTTTCAGGGTGCTGAGCACTTGCAACTCCCACTCAAGTAAATGGAAACTTATTCACAATCTTTGAAAAAAAAAATCGGCCTACTTTTCTTTCTATTAGATTTTGTATACATGCCCTAGACGTCAAAGAAAAAACACTGAAAATGCCTAACATTGATATATGTGTGTTAGCAAAAACTAATTCATGAAATAAAATATAAACATCTCATTTTATATTTCATTATCTAATACGGGAGTTAAACATCACTGAACTACAACCCCTTTCTGACAATAAACATTACTACACAACCCCAAGAGGGTGGATCGAGGCCTTCGCCCGCCCAAAATTGTCCTAGGTGGGTAAGCTAAAGCCCAAACTCCTCTACCCCAGAGAGGTGTAGGTATTGGGAAGGGAGCAGAGGTCCAAGAGTTTCAGACTCAAGCAGATTTGCTGGGAAGCAGGACTGAAGACTGAACTCCATAAGCTTCAATTTTAGCCCAAGCAGTGGGGCTCGGGCTCAGGCTTCAGCCCTGCACCACAACAAATCTAAGCCAGCCCTGGTGACCCCATTTAAATGGGGTTGTGACCTACTTTTGAGTTCCTGACCCACAGTTTGAGAACCACTGATTGAATCAGTGTTAAAATATCATCACGAATACCAACTTGTTTCTGATTTTCCAAGTATTAACACAATACCACAATGTTTGAATTCAGAACAAGGTACTTTTTCCATCACACCACCAAAAGATAACCCTCTTTCATTTGAACTCAAAATGATTTTATTAGTACTGTACCTGCATAGAGCCTAAAGTATTTGTTTCCATATGATAATGCTTCTCAATACCACTTCCAATGCATTAAATTTATTTTCACAATATATATTATCTATCAGGCTGCATCTAATAATGTCTAAGGAAATAAAAATTCGTCATGTTCTTGAATCATTTCCTTGTAAATAATCATAGTTGTTTATTCTATAACTCCCACACATCATCATGGATCAACATAAGTATGCAGGTTGATATTAAAAATCTGAGCTAGAGTACAGACTTAAAATTTTATTATTTAATATGCAGTTTGTCAGAAGCAAAGCTTCAAATTTTTTGTTTGATCATGCCAACCGTTTAATCTAACAATGAAGCAATTTTGTGTTTAACCAGTCGTTAACCACTGGCTGCAGGCATTGCTCCAACCCAGTCCTGCCCTGCCACAGGGGGCTGCTGTAGCACCAGCTCACTAAGCATTGGGGACTGCTGGCTGCTCTGGCCCAGTCCCTCCATAGTTGCAGGGGCTGCTGCTGCTCTGGCCCTGCAGTATGTTGCGGCCAGGGTGATACCAGCTGCACTGTCATGGGGAGGGGAACCCACGAGTTAACTGGTAAGTATCCCTATTGCTAACCAGTTTCTAGAAAATATAACCAAAAATTCAACATGATATATGTTCAGAAAAAAAGTCTGCTCTCAGAGAACAGGCAAAATGAATAGTAAAAACTTTCTGTCATGTAGAGGTAGGTCAAGATATTTAATTATGTCAGTACAATTTTCTTCTCACACCCCTATAATTTAAAATATGTCTGTGTATCAGTAAAATGCAACTGTACAATTCAGCATGATAGAAAACTTTTCATTGAGCCAGAAAGCATACACTTACATATTTTACAAATGTTATTCCCCTAATAAATGCTATCTTGTATTGACAGCCAAGATCCAGTTGTGTTTTAACTATGCCCCTCAACTGTACTAAGCTTTGAATGGAACAGATCTGAGGGTATACATGTTGGCCTCACGAAAGATTAAAACAGTTTCTTAATGTAGACCTCTATAGCGAGGACAGTTGTTATTATTTGGATAGGCCCAAAACCTGTTTTCAGAAAGAACATTCTTTATTTGTGCTACTAATTGAGAATTGTTTCTGACCCCTTACTTTTGGATTTGTGCTTGTTACAGTTCATTAGGCAAACCGGATTCTTGAAGTATATTGGGTACTGAACCTGTATTTCACATATGCTTAACATTCTGAAGAAAAGAACGCAGTTTCAGTTTATATGAATTTTTTTTTAATCACATATCTTATTCAAACCAGCTTTTATCCTAATTGAAATCCCTAATAAATACATTCAATTTTATATACAGGACATAACTATTTCAAAGTTCATTTTACATGGCTACACACAAATTTAGTACTAATACTTACTGTTTACTCCAGATTTCACCCAATTAGATCAAGCAAAACACACTTTAGCAGAGGGCATAAAAATATTTAAAACTGATTTAAGAGGTAAATTCTTAGAATCCTTCTCTGGGTTTGTAGTTAACAGCCCTATATTTAAAAAGAGCTACTTTCAGGGGTCTAGTAGCATGTAAAACAATTAGATTCTTAGAAGCGACTGACAATACAACTGTTCAAACAAAGGTGCCTTATGAGAATAACTTTACATGTATATTATACATTTAATTCCAAAATGGGCTAATTCATCCTGAGTCAAAAACAAGCCCTTCTGAGCTGAAAATATTTCCAAAGACGCTACAATGGATATCAACAGTAAGGTGCACTCCAGGCTAAAGCAAGGCAGGAAATGCAAGGTCAGATTGGCACAGTGGAGGCAAGAGTGGAGCAATGCTGAGACCCTGGAGACAGAATCCCTTTGAGAAAGTACATTGCTGAGATACTGGAGAAGGCTTCTCATCTAGTCACTAATCTGTTTCTCACTATAACACTGGACAGGACGAATAGACAGGGCCTCAGCAGCACACACACAATTGGGCTTCAGAAACAACTTATGTGCACTGCAGTTGCTGGGACCACAAGTCACGAATATTAACCAAGCTGGCCCTAGTTTGAGAAGAAGGTAATGCAGACACCCCCCATCACTTAAACATACATATAACATGCATCCTGCCACACACATCTTTCCCTTCCTTGCAGACTCAGCAAGCTTGGTCATCCTTCCCCACACCACAGCCTCCCAATTCTCATGGCATACAACCTGCATCCCACCACACAGAACCCTTAGCTCCCATTCTCCAAGGCTGCCAACTTTGGTTGGACATATTCCTGGAGGTTTCAGCATATGACATACTTGTCAATTACATATTTTTAGTTCCTGGAAACTCCCAAGCACTCACAGCGCTCTGCAAACCCCCACATACCCTAACACTACAGCCTCCCCTCCGCTTGCCACACATACATCATGCACCCCACTACGCATACCCTTTTTCCCCTACAATGAAACTGCTTTTTTTCTGCAAGCTTCCTAGCGCCTCACCCACCACAATTCCACAACTTACATCTGACCCACCACACAGACCCATCCCCCTAGAGCTCAGCAAGCTCCTCCATTTCTTGACATTACCACAGCATCCTGAACACACGCAGCACATTCAATTTGCATACCACCACACACAAGTTATCCCTCAGTGCTCAGAAAGCTCCCATCCACTCATCCTACTGGCCTCCCCACCCCATAGCCAACATCCAGCCCACCAGTCCCTCAACCTGCCCAGTGCTCAGCAAACCCCCATTTCCTCACCCACCACAGCCTCCCGAGCCTCTCAGCATATGCAACATGCCCCCCATCATACAGACGCCTGCCCCCGCAGAGCTCAATCACGCCCATCCCCTCACCCAAACATCCAACAGGCACCCCACCATACACGCCCTGTCCCCCCCAGAGCTCAGCGAGAGCCTCAGCCCTCCCACGCCACAGCCTCCCTCCCGCCCCCCACAGCGCACCTCAAACCCCGCCATACAGACCCGTCCCCCCGAGCTCAGCGAGACCCCCTCCCCCCATCCATTCGCACGTCGCAGCCTCCCCACACCTACACCCACGCCCCTCCGGCGTACAGCCACCCCGCCAAGCCCTTCCCGCGCCCAGCCCTGCGGGCGCCCCCCCGTGCGGCGGGGGCCCCGGAAGGCCGGCCGGCCCGCCCGCTCTCCCCAACAGGAAATCCTGGCTGGGCTGGGCGCTGCGGAGGGAGCCGCGGCGCCGGGGTCCGGGGGAAGTGGAATTATTTTTTACCAGCGAAGAGATCAACTTCCACATCCGGTAACAGGGCCCTACAAAGGCACAGACTGACCTGGAAAAGCTTGGCCGGCCCGGGGGGGTGCGGGAGAGACGGGACACGGCGCTGGGGCCTTACCGTGCTGCCTGCCCGGCCGTCACCGCCGTCCACAACAACAACCACGGGCGCCAAAGGCCGCCTCTCAACGGCGCCCAAAAGCCCCACACAAAACTCTCTGCTGCTGCGCCTGGCGGAGGGACACAGCGGGCGGAGGGGGAGAGACGGCTCAGGCCAGCGCAAAGCTCCCCCTCTGCGCTTAAGCAGGGGGACCCCGGCCTGACGAGGGGGTAGCGCTTTGAGGGGCGCATGACACTTACCATTGGGGTGCGGGGATTATCTTATTACACAAATATCCCTGACAAAAGGGGGCTTGGCGGAGGGATACGGCCTCGGTGCACTCTACAACGCATGCGCAGAGATCGGAACGAGCGGACGGGGGTGGGGGCCATGTTCCGTGCCTGCGTTGTTTCCCGCCGGTAGGGGGAGGGGGCCGCAGTCCTGGGTGACAGTTTGGGCTCAGCAGGCCTCCGCCATGCGGTGACAGCAAACCCCTCCCTCGTATAAGCACGGCCACCAGGAAGATTCCCTGCGAGCTTGGCGGGCTGAGCGCGTCGCCGCCCACGGAGCTGCGAAGGCGGGGTCAGCGCTGCCAGCCCCGGGCGCTAGCCTGCAGCGTGTCCCCGCCGACCGGGCGCAGGTAGCTCGGGCTTCGTGTGGTTAGCAGCTGTTAATCGGCGCTGAGCCCCCCGAGGGGTTTGCCCTGGCCCTGTGCGGCAAAGCCAAGCTGCGGGGCCTTGCGAGCGGGTGGGTTCGCTGGCTGGCTGGCTGTAAACTCGCACCCCCGGAATGAGCCAGCGCAGCCCTGCCCTCCTGTCCTGGACTCTGCCCGCTTCACCGCTGCCCCAGCCGCTCCCACTCAAATCCCCTGCCTTCCACTCCCCCACGTGTTCCAAGCCTTCCTCCCCCAACTACTCAGAGCCTTGAGTCCCTGCTACCAAGTTGCTCCAGTTCTTGGCCCCCACAGCCACCAGGAAAGGCTATCGCTTATGTTGCTTTTTTTGAGGTGGGGTGAGTAATATTTTTATTGGACCAACTTCTGCTGGTGAAAGAAAACAGAATGCGCAGCTCTGGATCAAAGGCACTTACAGTGTCACAGCAAAATAAAGGGTGGAACAGATATTTAAGTGTAAAGAGTTAACACATAAAAGACCATTCAAGATGAAGTGTCACATTAAAATCTTGGTAGTCACTCATAAGCCATTCTTGTCCTATGTAATAAGTCTTTATGAAGTCCCTGATTTACACTGTCCAGAAAAGTTATGAACTTAAATGCTCAGGCTCACCATTTGAAGATGTTTGTGTCAATTTCCTTTAGAATGTAAAGGGGCAACTGGTTTCCTGGTAAGCACTGCCTTACCAGCATGCTTTCTGGGGTAACCGGTTAACTGGCATCCAGCTGAACCAGTCTGGATGGGTCCACTACACAATGGGTTTACTACATATAGTTTAACCAGTTAACATTTTCAAACAGGATTGTACATTCCTAGTTTTCTATGAAGATGAGTACCTGAGAGTAGGCCTATGCTTAAAACCCTACATCGGCACAGATGCAGTTGTACCTCTTGCACGTAAGTGAAGATGCTCCTATGCTGACAGGAGAGTTTCTCTTGTCAATGTAGTTAGCTTCCTCCTCTCAGGGAGGCAGATTATGTTGACAGGAGCAGCTCTCCTATTGGCACAGCAGGGAGTTAGGTTGGTATACCTACATTTCTTAGGAATGTGGGTTTTACTTACCCCCAACTGACAGTTATAGATCTGCAGTGTAGTGGTCTGAGAGGTCAGCTACAGAATGGTAATTTTATGAAATTTTGTTATTTCTGTAGTCATTAATAATTAGATTTCTTTTGTTAAAATATCATTTTATTGGACTTAAAGTAATATTTTTAAAGCAGCCTTTTTTTGTACTATAAATTGCTTTACACACGTCAGCAGAAAGTACAAATCATCAACATCATCAAAAAATTTGAAATCACCGCAGAAATATTAATGAATTAAATGCCACTATGCCTCTGTGAAAGAAGTCAGTTTAAAATCCCCCTTTTACAGACAGGGAACTATGTTACAGAAAAAATAAGTGAGTTTTCCTACTGACAGATGTGGGGACAGAATTTGAGGGTCATGGCTAAGTATATTATGCTCAGACCACTACACCACAGTCAGACTTGCACATTTCTTGCCTGCAGAGTCCACACTTATCTTACAACTCCAATGAATTCTATTCTATTTTACTCCGTCAATTTCAAATATTTTATGTTTTGTTCACACTTGTTCTGATGAGAGGACCAGTTGCTTGTCTTTCTAGAGCTCATTAGTGCTGTTTCAATGTGTCAGCCAGAAGGTGACACTATAAAGCATACCCCAAATCAAAAAAGACAGAGGCTGCAGAGGCATTAATGGGCCACTCTACCTTCAATAGTGCTTTACAATATGTACTAACTATGCTAAATTATCTTTCCACTCTGTATTTTATTGTGATACTAGGAATAACTTTCCCAAACATAAAGAGTCCTATGCAGCTCAAACATTGTCTCTCTTACCAACAGAAGTTGATCTAATATCACATATTATCTAGCCTACCTTTTATCTAGCATTGGGGGCACTGAAACAAGGGGCCAAGAAGCCACAGTCTTCCCACTTTTGGGGCTCCTACCCCTCAGCCTCCTACCCCTCTCACCCTCCCTGAGACCCTTCCCTGCAGCCAGGCTGGAAGTTGGAGGCCAGCCTGGGTAAGAGAAGACCCAGGCAATTGTGGGGAGCAGCAGACCATCCAGCTGGCCTGTGTCCCTGCCTGCCTGACTTCCATCCAAGGCAGGTGGAGGGTCTGCAACTCCCCGTAGCTGCCCAGGTAGCTCTTACCATGACCCAGATGTGGCTATTCAGCCTAGGGACATGAAGGACTAGTCAAATAACCAACTATCCGATAAGCAAATGCTTATCAAATAGTCAACAGGATAGTGGACTAGTCGCTTTCTCCCCACCCCCACTTCAGATAGAGGCCAGATCAGATAGAGGCAGCGGGGTGGGGAGAAGAGGGGGTACTTCAAAGAGGCCAGACCCTGGGCTCCATGTGGCGCTGCCAATTTGAAATGCATGTGCAGCCCAGGGCCAGCTGCAGCGTTCCCAGGCTGCATGCAGTGTTTCAAAGCGAAAGTGCTGCATGAAGCCTGGGATCACCCTGGGCTCTATGCAGCGCTGCTGCTTTGAAGCGCCACAGGGAGCCTGGTGCCAGTCTCCTTGCGGCATTTCAAAGCAGCACCACTGTGTGGAGCCTGGGATCAGCTGGAGACTCCCCCGCTGACCTTGGCTCCGTGCGGTGCTGCTGCTTTGAAGTGTCGCGAGGAGCCCGACAATGGCCGAGGTGCCCTATCAACTAACCGAATATGCAAAATGCATCAACTATTCAATTAGTCGATACTTAACATCCTTAATTTAGCCAAGTCCCTGCCCCAGGCCTGAAGCTAGAGCCAGGTCAGAGTAAGAGCCACACAGGCTGGCAGCTGTGCGGAGCTGTTAACCCTCCACTTGATCTGGGCAACAGTTAGACTGAGGGTCGGTCTTGGTTCCAACTCCCCACCACAGGTTTGGCTGGGGGAGGAGTGGGCCACTGAAGAGGTGAGGCCTCATCTCCCTCTCCCTGCAACTTTTAGAAATAATCCATTGCCCCCAAGGCCATTAGGGGCAGAAAAGGCTCCAGAGCAGATTCTGGCAATTACAGGATGGTGAGCCTAATTTCAGTACTGAGCAGACTGGTAGAAACTATAGTAAAGAACAGATTTGTCAGATACAAAGATACATGCAATTTGTTGGGGAAGAGTGAATGTAGATTTTCTAAAGGGAAGTCATGCCTCCCCAATCTATTAGAATTATTTGAGGGAATCAAGAAGCATGCAGATAAGGTGATCCAGTAGATAGAGTGTACTTGAATTTCCCTCACCAAAGGCTCTTAAGGAAACTAAGTAGCCCTGGGATAACAGGAAAGGTCCTTTCATGGATCAGTATCTGGTTAAAAGATAGGAAACAAAAGGTAGAGATACATGGTCAGTTTTAATAATGGAAAGAAGTGAACAGGATCTCGGATCTGTGATGGGCAACACATTCATAAATCATCTAAAAAAGAGGGCAAAGAGTTAAGTGGCAATATTTGCAAATGATACAAAATTATTCAAAGTAAGTCAAAAATAGTCTATGAGGAGATACAGAGGTATTTCACAAAAACTATGTGATTGGGCAACAAAATGGCAAATGAAATTCAACTCTGATAAGTGCAAAGTAATGCACTTTGGAAAAAATAATCCCAACTATACATAAGCAATAATGGATAGCAACAGATAATTTAAAATCTAAGAAAAACAACTTGGAGTCATCGTGGTTAGTTCTCTGAAAATTTTGGCTCACCAGTGGTCAAAAAAATTGAATGTTAGGAACCATTAAGAAAGAGGTAGAAAATAATACAGAAAATATCATAATGCCACCATATAAATCCATGGTATGCTCACACTATGAATACAATTCTGGTTGCCCTGTATCAAAAAAGATATAAAGTGAAACAGGAACATTCAGAGAAGGGCTACAGACATGATCAAGGTTATAGAAGAGCTTCCATAGAAAGAGAGAAAAGGGTTTCTTCAGCTTGGAAAGGAGGTAAATAATGGGGGCCATAATAGAGGTCCATGAAAATCATAAATGATGTGGAAAAAGTGAATTATGAAGTATTATTTATCTTGTCAAACAGTATTAAAGACAGGGATCATCTGGTGAAATTACAAGTTAGTAGGATTATTACAAACAAGGGGAAGTATGTTTTCCAGAGCTAAACCTGTGGAACTAATTGCAATCGGATGTTGTGATGGCCAAAAGTATAACTCAGTGGAAAAAGAATTAGATAAATTCAAGAATAGGTCTATCATAGCTACTAGCCACGATGATCAGGAACTCAACCCCATTGTCAGTGGGACCCTAAACTCTGACTACCAGAAGTTCGGAGTGGAAGACAGGGATGGAACACTGCATAATTGACCTGTTCTCTGCATTTCCCCTGACACCCACTGTTGGAGGCAGGATACTGGGCAAAATGAACCATGGTTTGACATAAGAACCATGTCCATCTAATCTAGTATCATGTCTTCTGGCTGTGGCCAATGCTAGTTGCTTCAGAAGGAAAGAAAAGAACAGGCAATCATTGAGTGATCCATCCCCTATCATCCACTCCTGGCTTCTAACAATCAAGGCTTTCACAGTATAGCAGCAGTTTTATATTCAGATAGTTTTTATATGAATATATGGGGTGTTTAATGTGGATGTTCTCAAAATCTTTTTGTACCTCTTAATAAAAAACTTTTTTCATGAACACATAACATTGGTTTACATTCATCGGCTGCTGATTATAAAAAATTGTTATTCCATCCTAATACAGACAGGCAACACCACCACTATCACCATTATTTATAATTCAGGCTAAGCATTGGCATCCATTGATCAGCAAAATACAATTCTTCCTTAGTATTATTAAAAATAATTTAAATTCAGTTGAAGAATAATTAAATA